AAAAACACACCAGCCTCCACTGAAGGTTTCCTTGCAGCATGCTCCATTGTCGTCTCTGTCTGTTGTCAGTAGGACCTCTATTTATTTCCTCTTTCTAGGCATTGTTATTTCAAAAAACACAGTTTCTCTTCATCATGCCTCAAAGAATAGCTGATTGGGGTCGCTGCGGACCGGTCGCCTCGACTGTCAGTTCATCGTTGTCGTCGTCGGACTCGAGGCGAGCTCTGCTACTCCTTGACACATGATAAATTCAGGCCATTATTGTTCATGAACAAAAACAGACAAGAAACTAAAAACAGTAGTTTTAATACATCGCTACATTGATATTACTGTTACTCAAAGAATGCTCAAGTGAGGCTTAAGAATCAAGCAATTATAAAATTGCAGTCATGAAAGTATAAGTTAAGAAACCAGGACATTATTTTGATTTTCAAAGCAATGTTTTGAAGTTAAAAAGACAAAAGAAAATTGAATGTTTTAAGGCTGTTGTTGAGTTAAAGCCACAATCTGGGACGTGTAATGCAGAAACGACCACGGCTCATCGTCGGCGTCGTCGTCGTCCTCTCGGATCAGAGTCGTAGAAGAAAGAAAAGTCCCTTTATTTCTCGAAGCGCACAAACACGGATGTGCTTCGCAGTGCTACAAACAGCTGTGGCCATTTCACTCACCCACGATTATGGCTTTAACTGGACTTAATGACTTGAGCATTCTGAACTCATTATAGCAGAGAAAAAAAAGGTTTTATACAGTGTTTCCATTCACCGATAAACGCTCTTTTGTTCCTTTTCTTTAGTTTTCACTGTTGTTTCAAAGTTGGAGTCAATTCTGTTTCAATCCAGAAAGAAAATGAGTTTGATTCAGTCTCTGTGAGCTTGTATAATTACAAATGTTGAATTCAGAATCCCCTCAATTGAAGCATTATTGACTCCAGCCCTTGTTTACGCCCTTTTTTAATAAGTTGTACCACAGTTCTGTAAAGTATAAACAGCAGTGTTTTTCCTTTCTCATTCTCTCCTCTCTGCAGCTTCCACTTTGAACAACCTTAAACTCCAGAGAGGTTAGGAAGCTGCAGAACAGACTTTGATGGTTCCAACATTATTTAAAGTCGATTTTTCACTGAAAATAGAGCAGAGACAACCTTTAAATGATGAAACTGAGAAATGTTATTTCATTTTAAAGTCGATAAACATGGAGCAGGTTCTTTTAACAACACTCTGTCAATGATTGGGTACTGAGGGGATTCAATATCGTCCTATTCTGGCCTGATGGAGGATTTCAGCTTCAGTCAGGGGTGCAGGTGAGACCGTTTAGCACCTGGACTCTTCTACTACAGAGACACGCTGTTGTGATCAGGTCTTTTAGCAATACCTGTTTGTATTGGTCACTATTCAAGGTGCCGTTTGTCTTTATCACAGCTAATCATCATAATGGGGCGTTCACACCAAGCGCGAGCAAAATCTATTGGGAAAATGTTAAGACAATGCAAAGATGCGATTAGACGCTTGTACTTTTTGAGCGGACACAAATTCGCTAGAGCTGAAAATATCTCAAAACCTGTCGTTAGTATCCTGGAGGGATATCCTGGCACTGACCCTCACTAACAGGTCGCCAAATTGGGTTTGGGTAATCCGAAAATACAGCTGGAAACGTCCGTCATCCGGGCGCAGCTATTGGAGGAGACCGAGACATGGCGGCGCCTACATCTCTGACGGTTGTGGTCCTTCCACAATCCATCAAACGTGGTTCACTCCAACCATGCTTGATGGAGACTCGTTGTGACGAGGTCGGATTATCTGGTAAAGTGTGAAAATTGTTGTCCATCATTATCCTGCTGGTTGAATTAGCAAGAATCACTGTTGAAATTAGCATCAATGGCTATCCACGACTTTTTAGCTCTGTTGACGCTCCAATCATTTGCGCGCTTGATGCGAGTTAAAACTTTTTATTTACACGTCTAGAAACGTGCGAATTAAGCGAGTAGATGATTTTACTCGCGCTTGATGTGAACGTCCCGTCAGGTTTTACAGCGAGTAGAAACCACAGACTGAGCGTAGAATAAGTGCATCACCTGTGTGTTCCCAAAGCAGTGGTGGTGGCGGCCATATTGGAAATGCTCTGGTGGACCTGAGTCCTCTGGTTGAGATTCGGAATTAACCACGGGTAAGAGCAATATTTATCTTTATCTACGAAACAAACCACGGTTGCATGGTTGAAATCCGATCCGCCTGAAACACAAAGTGTTTTATTTTGAAAAGAAGACGGATGTTTTATTCTGTGTCTGTGCCCGACTTCCTTTCCAGCACGGGTTAATCTGTGCTGAATTTGTGCGACATGCTGTGCATAAAAAAAAAACAGAACCCTTGTGATCGGCTACAAAGCCCGCTGAACCACAGGGGGTCGGAAAGAAGCCGGTGGAATTTGCCAAATTCACTTGAATTGAAACGATAAGCGCTGACGGCCTTTTTGCCGCAGTTATGCATGTGGTGGACATTTGTGGATTAGATCACCTCAGACCAGATAAAATCACTTTTAACACGTTGTCTTTGCACCATTTTCAGTTTAACGTAGAGTTTAAAATAACTACAAAAACCATCAAAATCTGTTTCCATCGACAGTTTTCCTTCATCCGTCTTTCTCAGCATTGAGGTTGGAGATCCTGCGGATATTGCAGACATACATGTAGTCCCTTTCACCACGTTAGTGATACTAAGAACATTGAACTCTTGAGTCTGTTAAAAATCTCTGATAAGGCAATAACCCATTGCTATTACTTCACTAGACGTCTGCGGCGGCCATCTTGGCCTTCTTATGGACTCTTGGCTCGAGTAATGGTACAAACTAGTCCATGAGAATCTGCCCAGATCGGCCAGGTTGTGTATTTTTAGAAAACCAAATACGCCTGATTCGACCTTCACTCCTGAAACCAAAGAAAGTTTTTCGATCAGACAGATGAGGACAGCGTTTGAAAAGAGCTCGTACATCAGGAACTGAGTGTCCCGCTGCGAAACAGTATTAACTTCTTAAAGAATACATTCATCTGTGTGTGGTCGTGGTTGTGTTGTGTGCATGTACACACACATGAGCATGTATTTGTATGCATGTGCTCGAGTTGTAACTGTAAGGATGATGGTGAGTAAATAGTCGGGGGGCCGGGTCAGGTGGGTGGGGTCTTTAAGGGTTAATTTACTACCACAGTACTTTGGTCTTAGAAATGATTGGAGGATAGAAGGGGAGCAGTGAGCCAATGTTGGTGGATCGTTTTGTGCAAATTGATCTGTTTGGCAACTCATGTATATATATATCGATGTAAAGGAGAAGAGGTCTGTCATCAGTATTTAAAATCATTTCAAACACTCGTTTGTGATTTATCAAGTTGGCACAATGGCACCACAGTGGAACCAGAGGAATTCAAAAATCAAACGTAAAAAACCTGCAAAATGGGAGGAGGAGGAGGAGGATCAGGAGGAGGAGGAGGATCAGGAGGATCAGGAGGAGGATCAGGAGGAAAGGAAATGACTGGTTGGTAAAACACAGTGGATCTACAGTATATCGGGAAGGAAGCTGAGAGTTTTCGGTCTTTTCCTAAGAGTCGTTTTTTGATTTTGAACAGTGCAGATATGTTTTCCCCCGCGGGATTTGAAGACATTCATTTGAAGATTAGAATTTTTTTTTAGTTCGATTTCAAAATCAAAAACGTACCGTTGTAAGTGAGCAGGTAGGTAACTAACTTGGGACTCTGGTTTCGGAAAAGTCTGAAAGATTTCAAAACCGTGTTGTACAAACAAAACAGTCACCTCTGTTGCAAATATAGAACTTCTTTCTCTCTCTCATCTGTACAGCGTTCCCTCTTTAGGAGGAGAAGGAGGAGGAGGAGGAGGAGGAGGAGCGGGGGGTTCACCAAGAGAAAAAGACGAGCTTGTTTGGGGCTCAGCGAAGAGAGAGAGCACATTCCTCTTGGTAGAAAAGAAGAACTCAAATGTCTCGTCCGTCACACTGTCTGTTTTTGTCTCTGTTGGTGCGCACGTCTCAGCTGAGAGGTTCAAAACAGTCAAAACACAGTCACACGACAGAGCCATGCCATATTCAAATAATAGATTATTAATGATGAGGAGCATAGGAATAAGAAGAAGACCAGTAATGTTATAAGAATAATTAAGAGTAATAACATATCATTCTAGGAGTTTTAAATTCTGTATAGAAAAACAGTGGCGAGGAGAAGTTGGTACACAGTAGGGCTCTACTATCCCTTGGTTGATTTGGCACATTATACTCACTCTCTGGTGAGAGCTACCTACTCATTCTCAGCACAGTTGAATATTACCGTTGCCTGGCGACCCATCCAGAGTTGTTGGTTTTGATGTTTTTTTGTTTTTTTTTTTAAATCCCACGTGTCAGCAGAATCACAGGGCGCGATGCAAAAACAACCACCCCAAAAAAAGAGAGAAAAATCTGGATCAGTCCTCGGCGGTAACGAGGAGTGATCAGACGGATCTGCTGCTGCGGCGGCGGGCGGTAGGTACGACAGGGGTTTTAGAGACGTCACTCTGGAGGCAGATTCGAAGCAGGCGGGTCAGGATGGGTTGCCCGGCAATGTTTAAGGTTCCTGTTCTGGATGTTTATTTTTTATTCTCTTCATTCAAAACTTAGTACAAATAGCTACATAAGTCTGAGCTATAATTTCATGACATTACAAAAAGTAACTCAGTCTCTCTATAAGTTATGGTTTCTCTTTTTTCATATAATATATTAGTTTGGTCCTCCGTATGTTCTCAGAAGCAAAGGCTTGGTTTGGATGAAGTGGGAGCGAGTGTGTGTTAGTGTGTGTGTGTGTGTGTGTGTGTGTGTTTGTGTGTTTGACTCTGTAAATCCGTCAGTCATGAAGTTTTGTGTGTATTTACAGGTCATTTTTCTCTCAGTCTGTGTGTTTGTTTCGTCATGTTATGAATGCAGTGGAGTTGTTTTCCATCTTCAAAGGGTTTAGGGGATCTCCAGATGAGGGATCAGGTCTTCTGCTGCGCGGACACACCCTTCCAGTAGTCCAGTATATCGTGGAGATCCTCATCCTTTGCAAACTGGACCTTTTGCCTCAGTGCGTGCCCAGCTGCCACGTATCCTTCGTCTTCTATCGACGCCTGCCGGTGCCTCTTGCGGTGCAGTTTGAACCTCTCCCACAGCCCCAGGGTCGGGGTGCAGAGAAGCCCTTCCTCTTCCTCGTCTTCCTCGGGGCTGGAGCAGTAGCTGAGGTTGTGGTACTGGGGCGAGAGCGGGTAGTGGGGCGAGAGCTGGGAGTAGGCCAGCTCCCGCTGTTTGGCCTGCCTGCTCAGGGTCAGCGGGTCCAACACAGTCGGCTTCCGGCCGGGGTGGTGGTGGAGCTCCTGCAGGATCTGGGGGTGGTGCTGCAGGTCCTGGAGGTGCTGCTGGGATCCGGGGTAGGAGTGGCGGTGTTCGTTGTACTGGCGAATTCTCTGTGCTTCAGCTCGTAGGATGGCCGCAGCCGGGTTGACGGTCCGGATGGATTCCCCTCCGCCTCTCTCTCCTCTGTCTCCGGGCGAGGTCCTCTCGATGTAGCGGGCCTCTGACGTGTGGTAGCCTCCCTCTGAGCGGAACGAGCGAGGGCTGCGGGCCGAACCAGGAGACGAGGAGGTGCTGGGCCTCTTGGAGGTTGGGGGGGCCTCCATGCTGTGGTGCCGCTGCAGAGAGTGATGGTAGCTCCTCCCCCTCTCGTCTCTTCCTGCCCGTCCTCCCTTGTACACAGGAGAGAGGAACTCACTCCCTCTTTCTCCTCTCTCCACTTTGTCGGAGAGAAGCACCAGCTGTGGCTCTGCGGTGGAAACAGCCCCTCCGCCGGCAGAGGAGGGAGATTTCATCCCCTGCTGAAAGGAGGTCGACTCCGACTTGAGAGCATCTATGCAGTTGTTGATGATCTGGTTCACTTTATCCACCTCCTTAGCGATGGTGGAGATCTCCGCCACTGAGCCCTGTGGATTTGCCTGCGGAGACATCTCTCTTTCTCTTTCTCGCTCTCTCTCTCGCTCACGTTCCCGCTCCCTTTCGATGCCGGACCCCCTCACCTCCATGTAGTTAAGTTTAGCGGGCTTGTGTGCCGGCGTTTCTATGACCTCCTGCAGCTTATACGGATCTATCTCACCACCCTGAGGAAGGTAGGGCATTCTGGGCAGACTGTCGCCTGCGGCAAGCTTCTGGGAGACAGATCCTCCGCTCCCTCCCTCTATATCCCCCTCTCCGCCGTACTTGAGCTCTATTAGAGTCCTCTGGATCCTGCTCATTTTCCTCTCCTTCTCCTCCATGATCCTCTTCTTCCTGAGGCAGTGGACGACAAAACCGAGGATGAGCAGCATGCCAAACAAACAGCCTAAGATGGTCATAATGTAGTGCGTGGCCGACGACTGATTGGCAGTCCTTCCAGCCCCGGAACGGCGGCCAGTGGAGAGGGTCAGACACGTGTGGTTAAAGCGCAGCGAGTTTCGTATAGACGCCACACAGTACGTGTAGTCGGTGTTGGGTTTTAGGTTCTTGAGTTCGATGTCCTCTCTCTGGCTTTTCAGATTCTGGATATCCGTGAAAAAGCTGTTGTTGTAAAGCACCAGGATGTACATTTTCTTAAACGGATGAGGGATCTGAACTGTTATCACCGCGCTTGAATGTTGCACCTGCTTTAGCGTCATGATCGGATTAACGTACGAGAAGGTGGGGCTTAAACTGAAATCCTCATCCGGAGGGGTCCCAGAACCACAGTCATCCAATCCGCACGGAGAGGCGAAATCCGGGGGCAGGGTGGTGGAATCGGGGCCGAGGACAAAGAAAGGTGTCCTGTTATCGTCCGTGCATACGAGGCTGAGAACGTGCAGAGCGTTGCGTTGGGTGGGCATGCGAGGGTTCTGGCTCAGGAGGTTGTAACCGGAGAAACCTTGAGGGGAGTCGCACGCCATCCGCTCACTGGTCCTGTTGGGGAAGCTTGAGAGCCAATGAAGGAAACCCAGCAGCTCACAGGAGCAGTTGAAGGGGTTGGTGTAAAGTTCACAGGTGGTCAGCTTTGTAAGTCCAGAGAATAAACTACCGTCCAGGACCTGGATCCTGAAGAAGGGACAAAGACAGGAGAGTAAAGAGTTAAACAGAGGCGCCCACCTTCTGTAATAATCACATTAATGAAGACATTCTTAATAACCTGTCTGATCGAGAAGATACAGACTCAATGAAATCACCTCGAGAGGTAGAACCAGATCGGTTTAGCAGCTGAGTCTCTGAGATTGTAAACATCATGAGTTTATTTTATCAGGATTTAGGATCAACTTCAGCTCATTAGAGGTGTCTCGTATAGAGTAGAAAGTATCCTGTTAAAGACAGAGAGGCTGTGATATGTTGGAGCTGAACGGTAAATAACAGTATCGTCTGCATACAAAGAAAACTTGCATTTGGGTCATTTGATTGGACAATGGTCCTGAAACAGAGCCCTGGGGCACGCCATTTACGATTTCAAGAAGTGATGCCTTTAACCTGAACACTGTTCAATAAATAATTATCAAACCAGCAGACGGATTCTTCTGTCAGTTCATCACTACAGCAGACAAGAGGCGCAGCAACGTCTACGACAACTGTGGTCTTAGTGCATGGAGTACATGCTAAAACTATAGACTGTATAAACTACGGACAACTTGGTTCCGCCTTCCGCCAGTGCGAAAATGTTTCGGTAATTCCACGTTTCTTTCTCCACTTCCTGAAACCAACATTGTGCAGTAGCGTTGTACGCATTCCACGGGAGAATCGCCGATGACGCTCGGCTCAAACAGTGTATCGGGTGAGCTACGCAATTTTCATACGCCCAAAAATCGTACGCAAAGGGGAATCAGGTCAAATTTGTCAAATCTGCATAAACCACAGACAGGAGTCAAACACCTCTTCCTGTTGACACTGTGGCAAAAACTATCTAAAGTTAGAAACCAGAGCCCAAAGGCAACACGAAGAATAGTTTTATTACAGTTATTTGATTTATTAGGAGCACAGAAAAGGATGACCAGTAAAGAGCGAAGGAAAGAAGATGAGAGGGGGAAACGATCGAGGAGCCGAACTAAGAGACATTGATCAAATTGAAGAAAACAGGTGCAGTGTGTAAAAATGTGAATATAAGGCAATATTTGACAATGAGATTCAGAAAAGCTCTTTTGCTCACCCCTCCCATCTGTAGAGTGATGGTGGCCTTTAAGGACAAGAAGCTTCTGTAATATTTCTCTGTCTCTTGATCTTAAAATTAGTCATTTCACTAAATACAAAACTGTGTATGAGGATGAGGACTCCCTCCCATGAAGAAATAAAAAATCTTAAATAATATTAAACTGATTCTTAAGGGTATTATTCTGTATTTCTACCCTTTGTGTTCTGCCAAATCCTCGACACCCCAGCTTTAAAAGGATGGCTGAGTGAAAAGAAAATGTCAAAACACTTTAAAGGTTATGGGGCAGAGGACCTTTATACGGTACTGCGGTCATTTTATACATCCATTCAAAACACTGATGTTCTGACCTTCTCATGAATGGAAACGTTTGGATAAATGTACATTATAGTAGAGAAACACGCTAATTCTTAGACTGAACCATCAGTGAAAATGGTTTGGTTGTATAAGGTTTAACCAGAGGGAACCAGATCGGCTCAGACCCTGTATTTAGAAACCATCCTGGATCTAATCGAGTATTTCAGCGCCGGCCTTCATTGGCCCAGTTTATCTGAGTTATGGTTGATGTAGTTCAGCTGGTCCAACAAACTGGTTCTGGGACTGAAGTATTTGTATGAAACGACCCGCAGACCCACTCCAAAGCACTGTGGTACTTCCACTCACAGCACAGCACTAACTAGTGGAGGCATATATGTGCAGGAGGGGAAATGTAACGCTCAAAGATCTTGGTGCAGCGTGTTGGATCATGTAGCCTTGAGCCAAGATGCAAAGCATTACAGAGGTCTGCTGAGCTCATGTCTTTCTAACTTTTCCGTTTTTCAAACTTGGAGTTTTCAGTCCTCTCAAGTGACACCACTTGAGGCTGTTTAGCAGACTTTGCGGAGCTCCCTCTGGATCTAAAACGCCTTTATATTTTCTGTATTTTCTTCCACATGTGCTGCCGCTCTCCCAGAGACCCGCGCGCAGACTTTGATCCGTAAAATCGGCGCATTTTCCCTTAAAATGCTCTTGTTGCTTGGTTCTCTTAAGCCTCACTTAACGGTTTCGAACATCTCCCAGAATACCTTTCTACACGCCCCGAAGAGCAGTTGAACTTGTTCCCCTTCAGCTGGTGCTTTCACATTGAAGTCGAGAGATCAATACTAGTTACAGAGCAGAAAGCGAGAACACAGCAGCTATTCCCACTGAGGAAACGTGGGAATCTGGAGTTTTATTGAAAACATGGGTTGTTGCAGCGTTGCGTCATGGTTTACTGAAGTTCCTGTCAGGGAGAAAATAAGGATCGCTGTATCTTCTGGGTCCTTTTTCAACATCAGAGCAGATTGGTGAATTTATAAAGCAGATGTAAGAGTGAGGACACCCGGCCTGGAACGTTGCACTGACTTATAGCGTGTTTGTGAAACTGTTTACAGTGAAGAAGCTGCATCATATATCTGAAAAGCTTTAGAGCTGAAATATGTTTTAAAAAACAGCTTCTTCTTCTTCTTCTTCTACTCAGTTATCGTTGGTCTGATTTGCTGACATTGATTATCTAAATATGCCACAGCCTAATGCAGCTCCAGATCATTTTTACGTCCTGTTACATATTTAACTGTCTGAAACACCAAATCAATTCACCGTACGTCTAACTCTGATTCTTCTACATGGATGTTGATTCATTGACGAGGCTGCGGTTGTTTGAACAAATTTGTCTGCACACGTGTCAGTCAATGTCAGCGCACAGCTGTGACTCCGAGGGCCCGCCTCATCAGACTGACAGGACCTGCAGCGTCACACCAGGTGGGTTAGAAAGAAAGGCAGACAGTATTTTGTAAAGGTCTCTATCATGATGTTAAAGGTGCACTGGGGAAAATTCAGATTTTACAGTGAGCTCAAACATGAGGCAGCCGTGTTTCCCCTGTCGGGTATTTGACAGGACACCCAGAGATTGAAGTCGTAGATTAATATAAACGTTTAGTTGGCCTATAAAATATAATTTGCTTAATTCAGACTCTAAAGCTCGCAATCGTTTCATTACTCCCAAGAAAAATGGACCTCTCCGCTCACTCCTCTCTCTATCTCACAACATACACACATGCTGACATACTGCGGCGCGTCAATCAGAGGCTACGCCCACTGATAAAAGCACAGAAAGCAGCCCGGAGTCAAAAGTTTATGCCGATAACGATAAACAAAAGAAACATGGAGACTGTGTAGGATGTAGTTATGTACATCTTGCACAGAAGACGAAAAACGGAGGCAGCGCTGGAGAGGGTGGTGGTCAGTAAGCTAATTACCTCGCGTTTGGAGGGTGGCATATTGTTTTCCGCCATTTTCTTCTTTGTTTCTCTCTAGGCATGCTTATCATCTATTGAAACCAAATTGAGTCTCAAGAGCACAATTAGAGAATGTAGATTTATTTTATTAATGATTACAATGATCATACCTTTTATTAATAAAATCAGTTAAAACATGGAATAAATAACAACCGCCCTCCCTCGGACCAACGAACGTGCGACACCCCCCACCCACCCCGGACTGACAACTGTTCGGCGTTCATTGTATATACCCACCTTGCTAGTAAGCGCTATCATTGCCATCTATTGTTTCCTTAAAAGTTCGCGCGCACCCGTTGTATTTATAGTTTTATGAAAATTGACCTTTTTGACCCTTTAGTATTGCCGTAGGAAGCGCCCTGTCCTGACACGAGAACCCTCACATGAGAGTCTCCAGGTCTGCAGCAATACCCTGTTGACTGATTCTGGTATTCTGGTCGTGAACGCTTACCGCTCATACCCTGCCATTTTTGCACAGGCTGGTTTTGACAACACAGGGTTCTTGCCCCTTTCCATCGTATTATTCGTATCGTGTTTGGAGCTCCAAACTGTCACCGAACGTTCAGCACCCCGATTGAAAATATCTGAATTCTTTAAAAAGACGGTACGTAGTGATGCTGGCGCCACACATTCTCTTATGGATGCTAGCTTAAGCATCTCTCCCAGCCCCGGAAACAGCGCTGGCTCATCTCCCACCACCCTGTATGATACGTCACCCTACCGCGTGCCAAAGCGAAAAAGCTTAAAAGTTTGAACCTGGTGGATAGATGTGAATTCAGACAGTTGGCTGATGTTCTGGGTAGACGCCGCTGTAGTAATGGCGTCTTGTTATCATTTGATGGTTCGTCTTATTTAACTTCTGCAGCCTACAGTCAGTGAAACTCAGCACTGTTGAAAAAGTACCGAAATTTTCAGGCTAAATGTCTTAAAAACATTGAAAAATTTAAAATCTTAATATAAACTACTATGTATTTCTTAGAAGCGACCGCTCTTTCTTTATATCCAGTTAGAAGTGTCGAAATAAGAACGATCGGTCTCAAGTTGCTTCATCTAAGTTTGACGACATAAACTTCTGATACTTTCTAATTATCGTCTTTAGCGTCTGCTCCTCACCTGTTCATGGAGAGGTCTATATTCTCCAGGTTGGGGCATTCCCAGAAGGTGTTGGGTGTAACAGTCTCGATGAGGTTGGCTTGCAGGTAGAGATACTGCAGCTTGCCCAGGCCTCGCAGCATCCCCTCTGTCAGGTTCCTCAACTTGTTAAAACCCATCTGGAGAACCTGGGGAGGCGAAGACAAGTGGGATTATTCTAATCTCTGAAGTGGCGGCCGGCGCCAGGCATCAGTCGGTACGAGCCGGAAACATGCAGAGCAAACAGAGGATGGTTGAGTACAATCATGTTTCACATGGTGATCTAAGCCCCTGTGCTGCGCTGAAGATCTTGTTCACATTTTACCTCCTGGATCTGCTCCAGCAGCTGGGTCCATGTGTGAGAACGCCAGCTCATTATGTGGAGCTGGGTTTGCTGAGAACCTCAGTGTGGTTTTTTTTTGGAGGCCATGATGAGTGGTTGTCGTCTTTGTTGGGTTTCTTTGACAGACGGATTTAAACCGTTTCCAAAATCAGAGGCGCAGACACTCGTCTTGATTACAGCCGAGTCCTTCATTCAGATTATACTGGAGAGCTGGAGTGTTTTTACAAGCACTTCTATTATTGGCTGAACTAAACTAAACACTAAACTGGAAGAATTATCATTCAACTGGAAATATTTCACTAAAAAATAAAAATCAAACTTTTATAAATCCAGACATATTTTTAAAATAGATTCACTGGAACGTACAGGAAGTGTTTGAGTGAACGATCATTTTAAACATTGTGGTGTAATTATAATTATGGTTAGATGAAGATTTACTTTTAAAAGATGACTAAAATACTGAATAGATGATTGATGACTCAGTGAAATCACCTCGAGGCGTAAAACCAGATCGCAGGTTTAGCAGCTGAGTCTCCGAGTTTGTAACTATCGTGAACTTTATTTTAATTAGGATTAAGGATCAATTTCAGCTCATGACAGGTATCTTGTACAGTACGGGAAGTATCTTGTTGAAGACAGAGAGCCTGTAATGTGTTGGAGCTGAGCGGGAAATAACAGCATCGTCTGCATACAAAGAAAACTTCAACACGGACTGTTAAAAAGCCTCATGACTCAATGAAATCAGCTTGAGGTGATTTCGATTCAAGTTTGGCTGCAACAGCAGACGAGTCTCCATGAACACCTGTATAAAAATGCTAAAATTAGATATATTATATATAGATAATCAAGATATAACGATGGAGAGTTATGCATAAATTTGCATAATTAAGGACACGGTTGAGTTGACTGACAGGTGTGTCAGATTGGGGTTAGTCAGGCTGAAAGAGCGTTTCCTCTTCACCTCAGTCCATCTTCAACCCGCTCAGTGTTTCTAGATCATATCTAAATATGATGCAGTTTTCATAGACTGTGACTCCCACTGCAGAGTCATGTCTGTTTTTGTGCCGAGGTTTCTCCAAATTAGTGTTTTAACAATGTGATGTTATATCAAGGACCTGTGGCTCAGAGGTCGACCCCTAGAGGTTCAGTCCACATGCCAAAGTGTCCTTGGGTAAGACACTTGACCCCATCCACCAGTGTTTTCAGATGAGAAGTATAAAATTATCATATCAGAGACTCAAAATTATCATATTTTTGGGAAAATTATCGTACACACGTCATAATCAAAATAACAGTCCGACTGTTGCATGATAGTCACATATCGTCCCTCTAATTAGCGTCCTACAGGCAGTCTCCATTTTGTGGCTACAGTTATGTGGTCATTCACCGACCCGTCCTACATCTCTTCGGCTCCCATTCATCACCGTCCTCTTCAGTGGTGCTCTTTTTTCTCAGTTGGATTTACAGCCAATCATACTCGCTGCTCAGAGACAAATGTACCTTCAAATATGATTGGATGGAAACATCACGTGGTGTAAGATGTCTTAAGTTAAGTGTCTGGCAGACTGACGGGCGAAACCAACAGGATCCAGAAAAGCTACACTCTGGCACGGCCTGGCAGGCAGATTAAATACACAAGCATCATAACCAATGTGAGCGTTTACACAGAATCCGTCCGCCGTCCGGCTCCGCTGCGGATCAGCTCCAGCGGCTAGAGCGGATACGCCGGAGCAGTCGATGCGTTGAACTGTTCTTCACTTGATAATAGGAGAGGCCAGGGTTGTGGGATACAGGTGTTTATATACACCAATCGGTGGATCTCGTTCTATGACTCCCTGGAAAACACGTGAGATGTCGTCTAGTCTCGCAAGATATATCAGTAAACTCGTGAGCGGCGGTGGATCAGATCCGGTGGACGCTGTATGCTTGTGTATCTGTTCTGGATCCAGTGGGATTCCCGGGTGAGACTGTCCCATTGCACCACATGCTCATGAAACCGTCAAATTCATTTACATTTAGTCTTTTTTCTGGGTTATGGATCGTACATCGTATAATTATCGACAACTATGATCATTATCGTACAACCCTGCCACCTGCCTTTAGATCAGTCAAACCAAGAGTTTAAAGGATTTGCTTGTCGGACCTTAGATAATCCGAACTTAATGGTAACGTCAGGTAAATGTTGATCTACATGGTCACACCTGGCGAACAGTGAAAGCTGCTCTCTCTCTCTCTCTCTCTCTCTCTCTCTCTCTCGTTCAGTCTCTGACGATGTCGCTCGCTCACCTGCAGGTTGAACTGGGCTGAGAACGCTCCGTCTTCCACGTAGCTGATATCGTTCTTGGTGAGGTTCAGATAGGTGAGGTTGCCGAAGCGGCTGAGCGAGGAATAGTGGACGGCCCGTATCTTGTTCTCGTTCAGCCTCAGGTCGACTATCGTGCTGTTGAGACAGGCGTGACGGCGTTAGAAACACGCAGATATCATTGGAAAGAGACGGTTCAACGGGAGAGGGTCTGACCTGTTGATGTGTGAGGGGATGGCCTCGTACGGCGGCTGGTTCATACTGCAGATCGCCAACCACACAAAGCCCTTCTCTCCTTCGATCAGCCAACAGTCTGCCGTTACCATCGGCAACCGCATTATTGACAGCAAGGCGAGCCAACAGAGGAAGGAGCTGGCTGTGGAGAGGACCACCGATGAAGAGCGTCCAGTCAAGCTGTGTCTCTGCCGTCCCCGTCCCGTCCTCTGGGCCGCCGGGGGTGTCATCACAATATCCATTGGAGAACGCCAACCTGCTCTGCTCGCCATTTAACATTGACTCGCACAGGCTGGAGCCATCTGAAAGGCAGTGAGGGCGCGTTTGTGGAGTTCAATCTCGTCTTTTTGCTCTACTCGGGGTTAAGTCACTGCATGGTATCGTTTGATCTGATTCGTGTCGGGGATTTAGTCAAAGCGAGCGCGGCGGTGGGATGTATCTGGCGTTTGGCAGTAAGTGTCTCAGGTAAACTCGTCTGATTAGGGGGTCACTTTTGATTCATTATGATGTACAAATTGGCAAGTCGGAGTCGTCCTGACGCCAGATTGGCTGGTGCTCATGTCTTCTGCGGCCATCTGCATCTCTGATTGGAAGAGATCCTCTCCTCTGTCCTCTTCATCATCGCTCACTACGCTGAGAGAGAGAGAGAGAGGGAGAGAGAGAGAGAGAGAGTGGTTAAACAGTGGTTTATGTACAGAGATACCAACAAACACAACTCTGTTACCATCATGATGAGATCAATTTTTTCCTCTTATGTAACAGTCTGACACACACACACACACACACACACACACACACACACACACACACACACACACACACACACACACATTTTGTATACTCATAAGGTATTTCTTGACAAGTCCAATTAGCTGGAGCTGCTGCAGATGCAAAACAAGCACCTGCAACGGCTTTAAACAAACACACACACACACACACACACACACACACACACACACTCACACACACACACACACACACACACACACGCGCTGGTTTTCTGCCACACCAGGAGCCCCGGGGCCTCGAAAGGCCTGAGCTCAACATCGCCTTTACTCTGATACTGTATCTAATTAATTAATCTGCTCTAAATAAAACACTTCCTGGGAAAAAACAGCTGATGTCTGATGGAAGAGCGAGGAGGAAAGAGAGGGAGGAGGTGAAAAGAAAGAGTCTCAAAGAGTGGCACAGAAGAGGAGGAGGAGGAGGTGTAAGTGGGAGACGTGATGAAGAGTCTCTGTCTGTCCGTCTGTCTGGTGAAGCTGTGTGAATAGCAGCTCCCTCCCTCTCTCCCTCCCTCTCTCTCTCCCTCCCTCTCTTCGCTTTAAGAGCGCTCCTCTCAGCCACAGGAGCGGAACAAACAGGATGTGACATCACAGGGGTGAAGGAGAAGGAGCGGGCCGGAGCTAAAGGTCTGGACTCGCTCACCATCCTCCTTTGGCTGCTGCTCCGGCCTTATCGATTACACATGAATCTCAAACAGAGAGGTGCTGATGTTTCTCCTCCCGGCTGCACATTCAAGGAAAAAAAAAAAAAAAAACGACCCTCTCTGAACTTCACGGCGACCTTGGAGAGTGCAAAAGTCCTGACGTCACCGCCTGACTCGCAGCTCTTCCTGTAGCTCCTCTGACTCAGAGTTTTCTCTGTTTGATCTTCTACAAACCCGCTCCCAGGATGCTAACTAAGCTAACTCTCATGTAAACAAGAGTCGACTTCAGCTGCTGAGAGGGTTTCGACCCTCGACTGCACGGCTTTGCTCTTAGTGATAATGCAAACTCAGCTTTAAGTTTACGTCAGACATTTTGACCACGTTCAGCATCTTTGCACGCTTGTATTTGGTTATTTAAGGCTGAGTACAGGCTGGAGTTTAAAGGTGCCTTTTAGCTTTAAAATAACTTCACTGTAGATTTAAAACTTTGGGGTTTTTGTCCATTTGGATTTTACACTTTGGTAGATATATCTCACAGATAAATAAAGATGATACTAGCACTGTAGCAGCCCGAAAAGCAACATGCCTTTGTGGCAGCCATCTTGGTGGGGGCGAAATTCCCATTAAAGGCGTCAGATTTACATGAAAAATTAATCATGTCTTTATTTTTTCTCAACGGATTTTCATAAAGTTTATTTTATTTTCAACTTCAAAACATTTCCTATTAATCAAATGTTCTGTATTAATTACACATATTTTGGCATTGACACTAAAGTAAAATGTCAGTCAACCATCAGTTGAGTACGATGGGGGAGTAGAAACATATTAAGAAAAAAGACTTTGAGATTGAAGTCGTTAACTAACGAGAACAAAATCATGAAAAAGTTATTATTTACATAAATAAAGTAGTAGCTATTATAACCTGTTGTTTTAGACTTGTCTTAAACTTTATTTACTTCATCTACTTTATTCTCGTAAGTAATAATGTTATTACGACTTTATTCTTGTAATGATTTTATTTTGACTTTATTCTCGGACAATTACTACTTTAATTTCAAAGTCTTAATTCCTTTTTCTTAATGTGGCCCTAATACTCCATCGTAGTTGAGAAATAAGTGAGTTATGATTTATTTTCATTGTTCAAGTATTGGCTTTAAAGGTGAAGTAGACAGGAACCTGTTAAAGAAGCATCTTTTTTTGTGGTGTATAAACAAGTTTACATTCAAGATTTCTCCTAAAAACTGGAACTTCCTCAGATCCTGACTACCCCACCTTTAATCAGAATGATGCCCTCACCAAGATGGCTGCCACATAGGGTTAGCTCAAAGGGTTAGCATGTTGTATCTGCTGCTTAAAACCCGCTGTCTAACCAGGGACAAGGACAAACTGTCAAATTAGCCTCAGTCTCTCTTTAATCAGATACAACAATGACTGATGTTCTCTTTGTTAAATAAATGAATAAGAAACTAAAAATTAAAACATCGATGGATCTATCTCACTTCATACTTCACATGCAGTAGAACCGTCTCTCCTGATACAACTCAAATCTTAGAGCGAGTGCGTTTGTCTAATTGATATTTTTATGTGTAAAATCTCATTCAAACATAACAAAGTACTTCTTTCCAAACAGAGATTTTACTCACTGTATTAAATCCTGCAGGTTAATGTGACTTTCTGTGAGACGTAATGAGAATCAGACAAAAACACTAAAATATGATTTCTGCACTTTCGTTATTAACTGTAACTCCGACTGAGTTAACCTGCGGTGAATTAAACTACTTTACAAACACGATCAGAGACGATAAAAGGCCTCCTCGCTCCTGTCTCCTTCACTTCATGACTCCTAACTTTCAACTCGGTCATATTGAATATGCAGGAGCTCTGGGCTGCTGGGAAACGACGTTTTCAAAGACGATTAAGAGTGTTGTCATCCAGTCGACGACAATGCAGATGTACACACTCACATTATTGAGCAGGTGAATGTTTTATTATTAGTCAATGGTGTTACTGTAAATGTCAGCGTGATTTAAAGGGGACTGAACACAGATTTAAATAGGCTGATTTCACATGTACGCCGGCGTGTACGAGAGCGTTTGTGTCTGCGCTCACAGAGAGGCTTTTCCAGCCAGTCAGCAGAATCTATAATTGATGGTGAGACTTCCTCCCGCATAGCATGAGACAAACTACCCAGTTAGGCCACCAGAGGAAGGCGAGGAACTGCTGCCAGCAACACGCACCCAACAAAGAAAATCACAGATGCACAGGAAATATCCATTTTGCTGACCAAGGGTTAAGCCGAGGTAAACAAACTGTTGAGAGCGTAGATAACGCGCAGAGACGGCTGATTTCTGGGAAGCGACATCGACTGCAGGGCGAGAGGAAAGAAACAGGAGGGCTGAGGAGATACAGCCGCACTTGACCTCCTTTTGTAGTAAATACACTTGTAGCAGGCGGCGTGATATGTGCAGAAGGAACGGTTAGGAGTCTGTCGGCCTCTTCTACATTCTGCATCATTCATCGCCTTCCCCCGGCCGCCCTCTCGCTCGGCTGTGGAATATTCCAGCACTCAGCATCATGACCGGCTCGCTTTCCAGTCGTGTCACACTCAAAGATTTATGGGGTACAAACCGTCATACGGAGAGAGAGAGAGACGGAGACGGGGCCGGAGCTGGGACCAGGACCGGGGCCGGACTCTAACCTTGCTTCACTGAGACGGCGACAGTTATGGAGGCGTGGCCGTGACATTTACAGGATATATGTGTCAGTGTTCAGGCTTTTGTGAAAGAGAAAAAACAAGATAAAATGTGTGTGTTCAGAGTTTGGCCTGATGACAACACTCTGACACACACACACACACACAAACGAGCAGAGTGTGTGTGTGTGTGTCACCTTTCTCACACTCTGGGCTCTATTTTCGTGCCTCGCCGGATACGTGCCGCAAGCGCAGCGTCAGTCAGATCCGCCGCGCTGACAAGGCGTTCCCAAGCACATTTTGGTATTTTGGTGAGCCGCGCAGCCCGGCGTAAGTATCCCCCCTCCCTAACTCAGCTCCTCCCAGCAGCATAAGTCATAGACGGGGAGGAGAGAGGGCGTGGAGTGGGTTTAACACAGCCGAGACCTGTTTTCACCAATCACATAAGCTCCTCTCCTCGCCTTTAAATCCGCCACAGGCGAGGCGTATTACTATTTTCATGAAGTAGTCAAAGAGATCAAGAGATGTCTTAAGACAGTAATGCCACAAGATGGCGACAGAGGGCAGCTCCTCAACAAGTGTCACTTTAAGCGCTGCATTGGGCATCCTCCACACTCTCTCATATGAGCACAGATGGATTTGGTGTGCGTAATGTTGGACCCACTGGTAAGACAAACACCCTTTTCCACAAATAAAGACACTCACATAAAGTTGCTCATATTCAAACCTAAAATATAAACCCTGCTCTTCTCACTCAGGATCATCATCGTCATAATAACCGTCTCCAATCGTCGATCCTAATCTTCTCACACCAGCAGTCTGTCACCGAGAAATAAACAGCGGCGGCGGCAGATGAGGCGAGATTACAGCGAATATTCTCAGGAGAAGAAAAGAGGAAAAAGTCATGAGCTCCCACATCAGAAAACAACATCTCCACTGTTCTCCATTATCCTCTTAGACCTCTGCGTGTCAGGAGTATCCAGGTCAGGGCCCAAAACACAGAGAAGAGACGGGATCCCGCTGAGGAGGGTTAACGTTTCTATTTCTCCGCCATAAAAGCTGCTTTCAGTTCAGTTTTTTCGGTCTTTAACAGATTTCAGGGACGTCTGGATGAAAAAACATGTCGACAGAGTCTGCTGCTGATCCAGGAGGGTTTTCTGCTGCTCTCTGTTCGCGGTGGAGCAGGTGTCTCTCTTCTTCAGGTGTATTAAATCCAAAATCAAACAGATGATTCTGCACTCTTCAAGGAGTTTTCATACACTAACTTCAGTCAGCTGTTTTCTCCTGCGGTGCCACCCTCTGATAAAATCATGATTGCTGATTTTGTATTTTTTTTTTTTTTTAAAGAAACAAATTTAACAAGAAGAAAAAAACCTCTCCTCCGTCTGAAAAGCTCTTTTATCGCTCCTCCAGCTGTCGTTGCTGCACTTTAATCCATCTGGCGTCGACAGATTCATCTTCCTCAGAAAAAAAAAACAGATTTCTACATCTTTTTTGTTTAATTTTGCAGCTGTGATCGTCTCGCCGTGTCTGATTATAAAGATATACGACAGATCCAGTCCATGAAAATGAAGCCAAAACACGTTTAATAAGTCAGTCAGTCCGTGCGCTGGAGCAGATCTGACCGGTTTAATCGTCGTTCATGTTTGGTGTCTCATCCTCGAACCTCTTCACTCCTTGCAGACTGGCTTCTGATTGGTTAGTGCTGTGACATGTGACCTGTTTCTCATCATTAGACTGATCTAACCTCCTCATATATCGTTGGAGTCTGTAGGTTGGTGCAGCGGCAGAGACCAGATCTGTTTCTTCTGGAGACTGAGGAGATCTCTGACTCTCGGTTGGTTGAGTTCTGATTATTTCTAACGTACGAGTTAAATGAACTCTGACCTTAACCAGGATCTGGGTCCCTCTGCAGGTCCAGACACGATTCCTGGACCTGAGCTCAAAGCCGTCTTCACAGACACCCTGCTTCAGGTCCACCACCTTCCACTCCAGCCTCCCTCACTGACTCACCCCCGTCATCATGAAGTGTTTGAACGTTTAGTCATGCCTCATATAAAATCCATCCTCCCCTTCACTCTGGACTCATTCCAGTTTGCATACCGAGCCGACCGTTTGACCGAGGATGCGATCTGTGCTCCCGTCCACCGTGATCCAACCCACCTGAACACGAAGAACTCATGACCCACGACTGCAGGAGGTAGTTCTGGACTAAACTTCCCACTGAGGATCAACCAGGCTGTCAGAAAGCTGAACACAAACTCCGGACTCTAAGCCCCCTCTCAACCCTTACCCCCAATTTCCACCGCATGTGGAACAACATTGTTGTATCTCGTCTGTCCTCGATGTGTAGATGCAGAAGGAGGCTTCCTGACTCTGATTTGCTTATATAATAGGAATTTATTACAAAGACAACACCAGTATCAGAACAGCACCCAGTTGCTGGGAGAGGACTGCCAATGATGTCCAGCTCTCCCAAACCTGAGTTTGTGATCTTGTTATATAGGGTTAGAGGTTTTAGGTCCTCCTACATCCTCTGTTTATCTTTAAGTTATATTTCTTTACCATCTGCTTTACGCTTATCTGACCTGTGACCTCCAAACCCCCAACAGCTAGGATGTCTGGACCAGGTACCATAAAAGAGACCCACTGCCCACACTTCACCATTTCCTTCTCTCAGGCTATCCCTGGGAAATGCTTTAACACGTTGTATGTTGGTGCTGTAGTCCAGATACCACAACGGCGAAAAGGCTGTTGGCGCAGAACACCGCTGATCGTTTCCATTCAAGTTAATGTGTCACCGGCTTCTTTCCGGCTTCGTAGCCAGGGTTCTATTTTTCCAGACGCCGCAGCATGCCGCATAAATTCAGCACAGATTAACCCGTGCTGGAAAGGAAGTCGGGCACAGACACAAAATAAAACATCCGACTTCTTTTCAAAATAAAACACTCTGTGTTTCAGATGGATCATATTTCACACCATGCAAATGTGGGCGAAGAAGAACAAGTCAAAGGTTTTTAGACATCATTTCACCCCGATGACACCATGGATGAGGAGATGCTGATTCTGGTCTGGACAGAGTAGATTTCCTCCTCTGGAAGGACACAATCTACTGCTTATATGTCTATGTGGCTGTCTTTATTGAGACAACTCGTTATCGCGCGATTGCAAGTGAATTTGCGAGTTCTTGTGAGTTCTCACAATTCTCACTGTCTAAATCCCCCAGAAATTCGCCTCACAAACACATCCGGTAGGAATCGGTGGACAGCAAAAATCGCCACCATTCCACAGCGGAGCCGTTTGTATGCGGTGAAAATTCTGGGTTTCTTGACAGTATTTGCTAAAAACTCTGCTGCTGTTCGGAATCACCTGGTTTTGTATTTCACTCTGTATAAAGTTTCTGTTCCCATCATGCATTAGTGCAGATTCATCTACCTGCACTTCAGGTCAGGTATAAATACGTACAGCAGAACTGTTTCTCTGGTCTGTAGAGGAGTTTATCTTCACATAGAAGGTAGACAAGGACACACACATGTACCTCTCTCCTACTGTAATATATTCTCAGTATTTCTTCACCGTGGGCTGGAAAAAAAAAAAAAAACGTCTTTTTTGACACTAAAAAGTCTTGAATCAGAATCAGAAGCTGTTCTCACAAACTCACAAAAAACAAACTCCTAAAAACTTCCAGAACTCCTCAGGGTGAGCCGCACGTGCGTGAACACAAACAAATGCAGTTTTTTATCCCTCCAGCCCTCGGGTGAGATGTTTGTGTGGAGTTGGGGTGGGCAGTTATGAGGATACAGCTTCTCGAAGATTTACTGCAAGAGCGGAGTTGTCAAAGTTTTAGTGAAACCAGTAAAAGCCAAGAAAAAGCAACACTTTGCAGGATGATAAAAACATCCAAGGTTGGAGACAGAGAGTCGTTTTTAAAAACTGATACTGTGGGTGTCGTTTTTTTGGACGCCACACTGTTGTTAATTTTACACTGTGACTTCTGCGGCGTGCTCCTCCTCCAAAGTCTGATCTTCACCGAAGTTTGGAACGTGAATGAAGATGCAGATTTGGAGAATTTCAGAGGGAGGACTTCCTGAAAGTGTCTGAACTTTTCACTGTCTGACCTCTTCTGAAAACGCTCTGGCGGGCCCTGGATTATAACGTCACGACACGACCAAACAAACTCTGAAACTGACGGTGAATCAACGTTTGGTCTTCAAGCTTAAATTGCATTATTCTTGGTCCTAATAGATCAACATAACCTCGCTGAAAGATTACCATAAGTTGTGTAATACTCGCTCCACCCTGGGGATACAACAGCAGCTGTTCTGTCAAAGTAGAATTCTACATTTACACAAATTTTGGTTTTATGGAAGCACAAAATCCTCTACACGCTTAATTTGCGCGTATCTAGATGTGTAATTGACAAATATTTCCTCGCAGAATGATGTGCACGTCAACAGAGTTCTTAAAAGCCGTTGGATAGACGTTTTTGCTTATTTCAACAGTGATCCTTGCCAATTAAACGGGTTGGATCAAGTGATAGACAACAGATTTTCAAACCTCCTCACTCACTTTCGTGAAAATTACCGGCTCAAATCACATGATTTGTGCCGCGCCGCCAGAGTAGTACGAGCGTCTAATCGCTAAAAAAATAATAGCTACGATATGCCTTGAACTTCTTTAGTCCACTAATATGAAAGTCCTCATATGTTTGACACGCTCTCTCCTGTATGAGTCTCTCTGAACATCTGTGTGTGTCTTTTCAAGTCCTTTCAAGTCACTTAATACCTCACAGCCCAAACCGTTTAAAAAGTGTCGCATCAACTAATAGTCAGGAATTACAGCCGTTGGTAACGCCGTGTTGTGTTGCCATGTCTGCTTATTTCCCATAAAAAAAAATTCCCCTGTTTTTGTCTTGTTTCTGGAGGTCTGTTTCCTTTTTTCTCTCACCAAACTTGGCAACACTGTCTCAAACTCTCGCCTCCCTCATAACGACAACACCGGGAGGACTGAACAGAAATCGCTCGCTGGTATTGCCCGCTTGTTTCCACGTGTTTCCTTGTGTCTCTCTTTTGTTTTGGAACAGTGAATTAGAGTTTCAGTTTAATGTTTAATTGTATTTGAGTCTTCCTTATTTTTCTGCACATTGTCTAAGTTTCCAATTATTGAAGTTTATCTGATTATTTTTTGTATGACATGTAAAATAGTTTGGTTAAAGCTGCACTATGTAACTTTACACAAACAAGAACCCGTGTTTAATAATAAATGCAAACAGTGAAAAATGCTCATGATTGATGTAAATCTTTACATATAACAAATGGTTTATGGCTTTGAGAGGACTTGTTTTTGACTTGAAAGAAACGGAAAGGACTTGGACTTGACTTTGGACTCGAGAGCAAAGACTTGAGACTCGACTTGGACTTGCAACATAAGCACTTTCCCCCACCTCTGAAAACAGGAGTGTTGGCAGGTATGGCAGAGAGGTGACGTGTGTGTGTTTGACAAATAAGCCTAAATTTGTCTGAAAATGCACCTGCAGGTTTGTATTTTAACTGTTCCCCGTCTTCACGCAGGTCGTGTTTTTGCAGCTGCATTATCAAATCTTTACAGCTGAGGTGAAAAACGACAGCCGAGTTTCTCTAAACCGAAGCCCCTGAATGTTTGATTTTTGCCGAACACCGTCTTCACACACATTTCCCTGCTATTGTAACAGCCCACAGTTGCTTTCCCTCCTCTGAGTGACTGATGGAGAGCACTTAGAAGATGGGTTATACTCCTGGGCAGGTTGTGAGCGAGGCAGAAAAATGAGCACATTAATAATACGCACACATCTGTGTACACACATACAGTACGGGAGGGAGGCGCTGCTGCACACACAAACACACACACTCACACACACTCACACACACACTGTGCAATCTCAATATGCAGTGGGGCGTCACACACCGCCAGTGCTCCCATTACTATTCCAGATCAGAGAGGAAAACAGCAGCAGCCAACAGAGCTGTGAGCAGCCATCAACAGAGAAATGATGATGAAGGTGGAGGAAAAGCAGGAAGATGAATTACCCATGAGGCCCGTATGCAGTGTTTCATACAAGTGTGTGTTGGTTACTGTAAATCGGGCGAACAGAAGGTCCTTGTGGAATAAAGCAACGATGATGAGGAGAAGAAGAAAACACGACTGCTCCTCTTAGACTGAAGCACCAGCAGTGTTGATGTCTGTAGACGACGTTTTCTAGAACTTTTAAAGGCTGCGTGTTCGATCAGTACGAGCCGTTTCATAAACCTACAAAGGCCGAGTGATCATGCTCAGGGTGTCTGTGATCCGTCTTAACGAGAGGAAATAAAAGAGGCATTAAAGCTGATTCATGTCGGGATGTTCCAATACAATATTAAAATTGGATATCGGTCTGAAATCAGCAAAAAACAAATATCTGATGATATCAGCCTGCATCTAAAACCTCTGATATCAGCAGACCTCTATCTAGCAGAACCCAGATCCAGTAAAGTAGAGAGGCGTAGGAGTGATGTCGTCTGTGTGGGAGTATTTTTCATGTAAGTCTGAAAAAGACGATGCAGTTGAGTGCAAAACAATATCAGATCAATATCGGTTTTGGCCGATACTGAAGGCTACAATATCGGTATCATATCAGAGGAAAAAAGTCGTATCGGGACACCAGATTGATTTATGAACCAATTAGATTTGGATTCTCCACCTTCTAGCCGCCGCTTTTGACACCTCTCACCCCTCCATCTTCCTCTGCAGTTCTCTCCTGGTCCAAATCCTACCTCTCCAATAGAGTTCATCCGTATCAATAACTCCTCAGGGTGTCCCCCAGGGTTCACTGTTTGGTCCCCTCTTCTTCATCCTCCTCCTTCAGAAACACGGACTCAACTTTCACTGCTACGCTGACGACATCTGGATCTACATCTCCAACCGCCTGGTCTACACTCTCCACCTGAACTCCACTCAAT